GGTGCAATGAACAAAAGTGACCATTTTACCCATGCCATGTTCATGCACTTTGGTGCGAACTTTTGAGATTCTAATGACTTGTTTGTGATGTATATATGTTATATGAATGGTGTAGAAAGTTTCATTGAAAAATAACATGTTTTGGTTGGTCAATTGTAGATTTCAAAGGTTTAGCAAAACTGGAAAATTTTCCCTGATTGCCCAGGCAGTCCTTTTCTTTCGGCCATAACTTTTTACTCCGATGTCGAAATCGAGTGCCGTTTGCGGCACTGGAAACTAGACATTTCCAACTTTCCAACGGTATAAAATGCACGTCCTGATTCCACATGAGTAATCCGTACCAACCGTTTGAACTTGGCTGCCCTGTTTCGTTAGTTCCCTGGAAGGTAGAACATGAACTACAACTTTAGGCTCCAATGTGAACTAGTTGTGGACAGATTTTAAAAATGGTTTCTTCTGAGAAATTGTTACTTTATGAATGTATTTTTCAACACCACCAAACACGTCCAATTTCGAGTTGAATTGAATGATTTGTGACCGTATTTCGAAACTGACTTTTTGAAGGAAAACCCTTCTTTTGGGCAAAATTATTACTAAACTTGATTGAGACTTGTTAATTCGAGATTCTTGGTGTTAGTCACCTACCAAACCTATCTTGGAACGTTTATTAGATCTTGTCTACACCAATGAACCATGTCGAGGGAATTTCCTTGGCCAAATGCTTGAAAATGGAAGTCTACGGCAGATTTGCCTTGGAACTTCTTGGGATTTTAGTAGTTTCGTTAACCGATTTTTCGTACATATTTTTCTATGAATTTTGGCACAGGAGTAACCCTTACCTGGTAGTGTATTCATACCAAATTTGGTGCCGTTCCGAATCCGTTTCGATAGCTAACCAAAATCTCAAAGTTTGCAATTTAAATCTGGTTTAACAGTTTCGATTTTTCACCAACTTTGAACTATCATATCTTGGTGCTCAACACTCCGACTCTTGTTCCGTTTATTTTGTCTTAAACTTGAATTGCAACCCTAATAGAGTTCCAAATTTCAGAGGTTAGTTCAAATCAAATGAATTTTGCCGAATTTTCAAAATTAGCCAAAAATCGACCTAAACCTGTCTCAAGTGCCCCAAAATAACAATTTTGAGCTAAATTTTGATTACTTTCTGTTTGGAACCATGGGAAAGTGTATTCTAAGAACTTTTAGTACTTTGGAAGTTGTTTTCAACGGTACCAAAATTTTCAATTTTGGACTTGTAGAGAGTGAGATACGATTTTTTCAAAGTAAGTGTAATAAATCTGAAAATTCATAGTTTAAAGGAAATGGAGTTTTTTTTTCAAATTCTCTCTTTTTCTTTGATATCACTTGATCGTTATACACCCGATTTCAAAGATGAAAATCAGTTTTTCTTCTGTTAATAAAACCTCACTTTTGAACCTTTATTTTGAGTGGCTAAGGTTCTCGGTTTGAGGTATTGACTAGTTTAGATGAGTGTAATTCCTTTCTTGATTAATGCGTGATTATGAGTGAAAAATGCTTATTAATTGCTTCAAGTACTCAAGCGATTTTTGAAGAGAATTCCGGAGGGGATAACTAAAGATTTTACTCGCTCAATTACTTTTGAATTGGTGAGTGTCAAGTGCATAACTTGTCGCGTTTACTTGATTTACCTGCTTATATACGTGAATATCACTTGATGAGACGAGTGTGTATTGTATCGCACTCGCTCTCCTTTATTTGAACTTTACTTGCATTAACTTGGTTTTCAAAGTTGATTTGAGTGAATCTCGTCGACTAAAATATACTCGTTTTCGTGTGCATAGCATGTTATCATGCGGGTCGTACGTGTCCTGCGTGTCGTGTTGTCGGGTGGAGTGAATCTCCTCGACTTATGGGGACGCCCAATTCTCTTAGCCAATCTTGCAACTCAAGTCGGCATGGGCTTGGTCGAGAAACTTGATAAACCAAGAGAATAACAAAACACAACTTGATCTTTTAAGATCTTGTTCGGCATACTCGTGGGGTATCGCCCTTTTCGTGCGTGTTCTAAAAATCAAAACTTAATCTCTTGAGATCTCGTTCGACATACTCAACGAGTATCGCCTTTTTCGTGCGTGTTTGGTTACGGATCCGAAAGGGTGGAATGTTGGTCGGAGGAAGTAATAAGTGAAGTTGTAACTGATATAATACCCACCTGGATGACGGAGTGTCATCACGAGAGGGTATCGGATCGAGAAGTGGCGAAGCAAGTGAAAATTAGCTCCTAAGAGCTCCTATATTCTTGAATTGTTTATGTTTACTTTTCTCGCTCGAATTGTAATTTACTTGAATATATTATTGTTCTACTTGAATATTGGGATTGTTACTTGGACAACGTGCTTGCATGTGTGTTTTCTTGGCCTCACGAGCAATTGCTTACCCCGTAGATTTGTTTTCCTTAACAGGAATGGATGGAGTGAAACTCGGTGGAACCCTTTGGATATACTTTTGTATTAGGATTTCTAAAGTAACCGACTAGACATTTTGGTTGTTGTATATTTTGGGAATTGATGTATCTTCTGGATCCTGATATAAAAATTGGGTAACTGATGTATTTTGAACTTGTGGTGTAAGATTTGGATATTCGATTATGGAAGCGACTTTTCCTTATTAAATTAGTAGTAACTGTTATATATTGTTAAACTTGAATCGATTTGTCTCGAGTCCTGACGAGAGTTGGGTAGGCGTTCCGCGGATACCCTTGAGTTCGCTCTTGGGAGAAGTGGGGGCGTCACAATGTGTCTAGAATAACCTTGATTAGTGTTGTCTCCTTCAACCCATAAAGCTACAACTTGAGATACAGCGGGTTTATTAAACACTCGCTGGTCGTTGTCGGAGTGAGATTTTAATACTATCTGATATGAGTCCAAGTTTGGGACATTTCTCAAACTCCTAAAGAAGCAAGCATATGGATTTTCTTTCATTACTTCCATTAGCTTGACTACAATACTTTCGGTCGGCCTTTCTGATATTGCTAATCGATTCTGAATTTCATATTTTGTGTCATGGAAATAAAGCTGAAGATACATTCCTGATCCTCCATGCGGTATTAGTTCATTGATAAAATGGTAGGTTTGGCCTTGTATCTTGAATGTATAGATTCCGTTTGTCCTCTTGCAAAGGGATTTGTCATAGTGAACACCAAAGGAAGTGAATGCAAACATGCTATTATAGGTCTTAACATAGGTTCGGAAATGTATAGCTTCTTCACTCTGTCCAGTAAAAAGTTCAATTAATACATCAGGTAGCTTATTTTCATGGAGCACAACTCTCCATCAGAACAGCAAAAGTTTGCTGTCTTTGAATAGAATTTTTTCGCTCCACAATATTTACAATCTGATGCATCAGAGAGATGGTCTGCATTATGGCTAATGAAATTCAGAGTGTCTACACCAACTGCATTTTTACATGCTGTACAATAATAGGAATACAAAGCATTTTTATCACTATGTTATATGCATATGAAAGAACTATACATATTTGTATATGAACAGATATAACAAAGAAATAGGAATGATACCTTTATTTTGCATGTAAGTCTTGTTTGCTCGGATACTTGATCTCCTTTGGCTTGAGTTTTTGCCTACAGAACAATAATGTCGCTAGTCAGGACGTAAAAACGATAATGCTACTGATAAGGACATATAAGTTTTGCAACATTTTCAGATACATTTTAGTTATACATATCTTTTGGATGATTTTTTATGACATTAGAAACATTGGTTTCCACTGGCTGAGGCTGTACTGTCATTGATATACCTGATTAGGTAAATAAAAAAGTGTAAGAACATAAATCAAATTCAGTGACCAACCAATACTGAGCAAATATTTGTAAAAATAGTATTAAGGGGTTAATCCTGCAAGATTATCAACTGTTTCATGCAAGAAATTAGAGCAGATAGAAGGATCACCTACCAGATAAAAACAAAGAAATTGTTATATGAAACATAGAGTGATAAATATGATTATAACAAGATATACCTAACACATTTAGTTTATTGATTCTTCTGCATTTATAGTTGGACGAATTTTTTGATGAAGAACCTAGAAGAGCAAAAAAAATACAGAATTAAGGTAAACATAGAATATAGAATTACTTGTGTAAACATAGAAGACAGAATTAATTTGTGTAGGCAAACCTTGTTCAAATGTCGAAAATACAGAATCATGCCTTTTCAGCTTGCCTTTTGATTTACCATTGGTTTTGCACAGAGAATTACTTTTGACAGCAATAGATTGTTGCAGATTAGTCTCTTTGTTTCTATTCTGTTGCAGAAGCTGTTTAACAGCAATACTTTGTTGGTTATTGTGCTCATTGTTTTGCTGTACGTCACACCCAACTGGAAGTTCTATACCAGATATACAAGATTTTCATAATTCACATTGCTTATAGAAGATTTTTTTCCTCTTTATTTATGAAGAAAGTAATTTAGAAGCATAAGTCAGTGATTGAAAAAGAGGTTCATGGCATTGACGGACTAGATAATATGGAATCTTAGTGGGAAAAACAAATGTTTATGCTGATATATATTTATATGCATTATGCACGTTTACTATTTTACATCAGCTTAGTTTTTTTTTTGGGAAAAACATCAGCTTAGTTGTTAACTTGACAAGAATGTCAACATTAAATGCCATTAATTAATTAAAGCATGAAATCATATAGAAAAGTGAAGCAGGAACAGTTTTAAATTTCAACACCTCTGCTAGCTGTATTAACATTTCAAGTACTGCTCAGTTAGTATTATATTTTTTGTATGCAACAATCCAGATTAGTAGTGTGATTGTAGTTTGTCTTACTGATGGTTGGTTCTTATAATATATTTTTTGTTGGGGAGCAATTTGTTATCGGTTACTCGATCTATGTTTTTCTCGTGAGCAGGTTTCTCATAAGAAAATTCTTAAGTATTGCATGCATGAGAAGCACCTTTATTCACTACGTTATTGTTCTTTTATTTCAGACGATGCATTACTGCTTTCTGCTACATACAAAAACACAATATAAAGGCAAAACTGAATTAGATACCATCAGTTTGCTGTTGATTCATAGAAGACGTGGATGCAGCAGCTTTCCTTCCTCTCCTCTTTGGATAAGCTTCTCTTTGTTTAGCTCTATGAGCTTCTTTTTCTTCCACTGATAAGGAAGCATATTTTTCTCTTAATCTTCGGTTGCGAACAATGTTCTTATTCGTTGAATGTGTAAGTGCATCAGTTGAAGCCATGATTTACAGTTTATAGCATGAATAAAGGAAGCATAAACGAAGCAAAAGGTAGTAGGATAGAGCAAAAAGTTGTGGGCTTATACAAATAGCTATGGAACATGAATGCATGAAGCAATTTTCCAATTTCCAACACCAAAAGTAAAAGCTATTGTAAAATGACACTGTTAGATATGAGTTGAAAATATATAGTCCATTCAATGAATATTTTGAGGGACAAAAATGTAATTAAACAAGAGAAAATGAGCTGGCTGATAGATATAAACATCACATCTCATTAATGCTTCTTGTAAATGCTGCAAAACAGTCATTGTTCCACTAACATTCGGCTAAGCCTTGCAAGAAGCAACAACCAGTTCTAATAGTTACAAGAAAAAGAACAGCCAAAAGGCTTGGAGGACAAAAATAGCCCTGAAGAGAGCAAACGAATTGTAATGAACACTAACTCTCCAAACGTCTTAGCTCCAAGAAAAAGAACAACCAAAAGGCTATAAGGACAAAAATGGCCCTGAAGAGAGCAAATGAAATTGCAATGAACAAGAACCCTCCAAACGTCTTCTTATAAGATATAAAGATATAAACAAGAATGATCTTATAGATATAAAGATATAAACAAGAATGATCTTAACTATTATTTTAGTGCTATGCCTTGAGCAATTATCACGAGGTAGAATGGATCAACCCTGCCTACTATGCTAAATGCATGATTATATAGAACATCCGGTCCTATGCTTGAACTGTATATACTTTTGACTAATATATACAATCTATCGTTTCGACCAAAAAAAACAAAGAGACAACTAGCCGCATGTGTGATTACATGATACTCACGTGCTGATTCACCAGGATTTGTCCATTGCTTCAGTGGACAGGGGCAAGTGCTTCCTGCGGCATCAACGGCTAACATGAACTTGACCAGTGCCCCTAAATCCTAAGATGGAACACAAACCATTGGATTAAACGAAACCCCTTTTCTTTCCCTTTTCTTCCTGATATGTTTTTTTATGTTATTATCATTTTCACAAAGCATAATTAGACCAAAGGCCTTGGGGAAAAAAAGAAAAAGAACGTGTGCTTGTGTTTTAGTTCTATCATCTTTTTTATTTAATCCTCCTAAAAAATTTAACTGCTTGAACAAAAAACAAAAGTCAACACTAACTTGTAAAAATATTGAGTAAAACAAGGTTTTGAAACTGGCATAAGTTGGAATTATGTTTAATTTAATGAAAGATTCAAACTTGAAACTTGTATAGTGGAAAAGATGGAAAAGGCTAACAACTTTTTATGAAGGGAAAATCCAACTAATAAAGGCGTTGTTTGAAATTTTAGATTTTAACTTGTTAATATTACGTCTTTGACAGGACATTCTTGCTAAACATGCCTCCTGGTCTATGGCTTTACTTATAGCTCACTTGGGACTTGGGAGGAGAAAAGGATAGAAAATAAAATATCTGTAAAAGTAAATGATTTGGGATAATTGTGGGCCAAAAAAAAATCCCTCTACACAAAATTTGAAATTAGGGAGAAACATTATCAAATAACGCTCAAGTAAACAATTGTAAGGAGAGGGATTCTTGTAAGGTCCCCATCCATTCTTGGTCTGGTTTGTGGGCTTCTGGGTTTGTGGGCTATTGGGCAATTGCTGAATTTAAAGAATCCTTAATGTATCCGTTGTATCATGAAAGAAATACGGGTTTGTTTGGATAGACTTGACTTCAAATAAAAAAATTTATTTCACAAATTTCGACCATATTTTTATCTTTTCAATCACCTTTTTATCTCACATACATCACATCACATCACAAAAAGTATTACAGTAATTATCTCAAATAAATCATCCAAATAAACTCTTATCCAAACAAACTCACTATGTTCCACGAGACCCCGACCGCGTTCACCTAGCAAATCCGACAATTGTGTTTTATTCAAGCCTTCCTACACATTTTTACTTGTGCGTCTTAGGTTCACTTGAAATACGATCATCAAAAAATGAAAAAAAAAGTTTAAAAATTACTTTTGTCGTTTCATTGAATCAATATAGAAAAAGAATACTATCTAATTAATTAGAAATGATTTCTATGATATTACAAGCATTCTTGTAGCTCAACCATATTTCAAGTAGTAGCAGAATTCAATCCAAAGCAGAAGGATCTTGCTAGGAATACCGCAATCTTTAATCTGGACTTCTAATCTTATTGTTATCTACCAAGTGTCTAACCAGTTCCCATGTTTCTTCCCATGACTTTCCTACCAGGTTTCCATGATTTCATCGTCAATCTCAAAGTCTAAAAAGAGATTGCCTCTTCCTCTATTAACCACCTTTCCCTCTTGTCCATCAGCAGTTCTTCTCATCCTTGTGATGATTCTCAGCATATTAGCTTGAATAGTATGCCAAATCTTTAAGGTATATTTCATTCTCAAGAGACTATTCCTGTTAAAGTCTAAAGGTATAATTTATTTGACACAAAATCTAGCAACAAAGCACGAGTTTTACAGGGGGAGAGGGCGCATTTTGTTTCATCAATCATTTGTGTTGTAAAATCTTACATACTTTGGTCTCTTTTTATTAGATGACAGATGCAGCTTGGAAGGCCGTCCATATGGAAATCATTGTGCCTATCATTGGGAAGGCTATAGCTAAAACGATACTACTGGTTGGTAAGTTTGTAGAGAAGGTGGAGGGGACAGCAGTTGAGAGGGGAGCATTTTGTTTCATCAATTCTTTTGTGTTGTAAACAACTAACATTGGGAAGACTATAGCTGAAATGATACCACTGGGAAAAATTCTTTTGTTTCTAATGACTCTATAAGTGTTTTAGCAAGGAAAGAGAGTATGGATACAATTATGGGGCGAAAGTTGAAACGCACCGCCTAAGATTAAAGGAAATATTGTATTTCAGTCATATAGCTATTTTCAGCCTTTTGATTGCTAGTAATTGATATCCATGTAACTTTCTTTTTCTCTTTTTTTTACTGACCTATTATTGTAATTAGAGAGAAATAAGTAGAAGTGCTACATCAAAATTTTTTAAGGTAAATTACTTATTACCCTCTTGTGATTTTACATAATGTTAGATGATCCCTCTAAGGTTTTAAAATAGCCACATAATTCCTATGTGATTTTATATAAAATGAAAAATGGATAGAATGCACAATTAGTTACGGTGTTTATACCAAACACACTTTAAAAGCGCGTGTAATAAATCTTAAGCTCTGTTTGGACTAGCTTATTTTTCAAAAACTAGTTTTTCAAATATAATGTTACAGTAATATATAAACTAAAACAACTCAAAAAATATCTCATCCATACAATATATCAAAATCAACTCACAAATATATACAAAATTTTTTTTAAAAATAAATTCTATAATATTTTCCACCTATCACCACCATTACCACCACCTCCACCCACTACCACCACCACCACTCCTTCCTTTCCTCAGTCTTCCTCCTCCTCCTCCCTTCCCCTTCCCTCTTTCTCCTCCCTTCCCACTCCCAACCCTCCCTTCCCTTCCCCCTCCCCCTCCCCCTCCCCCTCCCCCTCCCCCCCAATTTGGCCACGGCTAGGGAGAGTCAAGGGATGGGGGATGGGGTGGGAAATGGAGGGGAGGAGGGAGAGGGAAGGGGAAGAAGGAGGAGGAAGAGTGAGGGAGGGGAGAAAAGAGGAGGGAAAGGGTGATGGTGGTGGTAGGTGGGGGTGGTGGCCGTGGAGGCTGTGGTTGTTGGTGGTAGTATTAATTTTTAAAAAAGTATTATAGAAATATTTTAATTTTAAAAGGTATCCCAAAATATATTCCAAAAATCCTTTCAAAAACATCACAAAAAATATCTATAGTAAAAGTTTTTCATATATGTTACAGTAAAATATTTCAAAAACACCGCAAAAAACAGTTAATCCAAACGGAGCTTTAATATTCATATAATCTCCTTATAATTTATATATTATCCACTTACCCTTGTAGTTTTTGCATTTATCTACATAATCTCCTTATGCTTTTATACAAGGTGATTTAGCCGTCGATTGATTTAGTATTTAATTAAGGTCATTATTGGTATTTTAACTAATGACGTTACATAAACTATTTTTCGCGAACTTTTCATTTTACTTAAAACCATAGGGGGGTGAAGTGAATATTTTGAAATATTTGAGGGGTCATGTAGCAATAGATGAAATCACATGAGGGTTACATGTAATTTACCCAATTTTTTATGGTCTGATTAAGATAGAGTCACAAACATGCACCTATATTTTTGTCAAAATAATAAAAAGGAAAAAGATAAAAGGTTATGCAAATGTATCTATGTAATAGTTGAAGATTTGTACCTGGTATTTATAAGAAATGTTGATGTGAGGCTATTTTTTTTTCTTTTTGTCAAACGTTGGATGTGAGGCTATTAACTGTCAAGTTTTGAGTCCTGACTAAAGTAGTAGCTATATTACAAAAAGAAAATGAAAAAGAAAATTAGAATCATATTTTTCCAAGAACATGGTATAAAATAGGTAAGCAAACTTTAACTATTAGTGGATACCTTACAGATTAGTATTTTTTTTAAAAGGATTTTCTAACGGGTGCCAATGAGTACTCGTTAAAACATCTATATTCAACTCAACATGTCATATATATACACATATACTAAGAATTATTACTTTTTTCTGTATTTATACACTTTGCATAATTAATCTCCTTATATTTATACACTTTCCCTAATTAATCTTATATTTCTAAAAATCTAACATCTGAAATACAACTTAATGAGTGCCCAGACAAACCTTTTTTTAATTCAAAGGAAGACTCTGAATCATATAAGGAGAAAGAAGACAAGAGAGAAAGGGGAAGGGCTGAGAAGATTTTCAATCTAACCTTGAACCAATTATTACTAGACTAATGTCTCTATCAGTTAAGCTTAGTTTTAGGGACTCAAATACTAGTGTTTACCTAGCAAATAATCACACCCAAGATGCCAATTATTTCATTCTAATTTTACCTAATAATTCTAGAGATAACAATGAGGGCAATGGGGCTTGGGGCGCCAAAGAGAGAGGCTGGGG